TGATTTTTTTCTGGCAGTGATATAACAGCAGGAGAATAAAAATTATTTTCGGTTTGTCAAGTTATATTACGATTATACGAATGCGACCGCCTGGCTAGATCGATACGCTATACACAGACTGGATCATGTTACACCACATACATGATTCATGACGAAAGATAAATAACTAAAGTGTAGATTAGGCAATGCTTTATTCAACACAATTACAAACAATCTAAACTTATTGAGTTCGGAGTAGAAATCAATACTAGTAAGAGAATCTACATCTACAAACCAACACTAACCCATTCACCAGATATTTGGGATGAGCTGTGCTTTAACTGTAAGGGCTACTGATATTATTCGGTTCGCCAAACCTAAGTAGATGAGGCCGGGTTTAAACCAAAGATTTGGTAGCTGTTGGTCAAATGTCTCAACCACCACTCCTCGGAAATCACATATTTAGTAGTTAGTAAACTAAGTGTTTATTTGTCCATGTTTAGGGGTTAATCCTATCTTCTAAAAGCACACATCAGTAACTAAGGGAATTTTTAAACTTAGTGCTAAAGTTAATCAACTGGGTAACGTATCTTCCTTGAGTAAAACTAAAGTACATTAGGACGATATCAAGTTAAATGTTGAGCGATTTTACAGTGGCTGTTCAAATATCAAAAATAATTAAAACCAAAAATTACCATTAGGTATTAAGGCTTTTGGTCAAGAGGTCATCACTATAATTCAAAGAAAAGCTCTTCATGCTTTCATAAATTTAACTATCACAGTTATTAAACTAGCTAAGGTGGTATTCTCTTAGATGTATACCTGAACGGTCGAAAATGAAACATACGGTTTAGTTGATTAGGTAGTTGTTTTTTTATATTTCGTCATCCAACTAGTAAATGTTACTTTAAATCATGTGATTACATCAATTAGATTTTACACTTTACACATTTTCTTGGAAAATTCATTCCGTTTCTCTATGTTATAAAAGTAAATAGATAAGGATATTCGTCCGTTTTTCAACATTCAATAAGCCCATGATATCTAAGATTTCCGAGTAGTTTTCCATTCATGTAGTAGGTGAGCGCTACATATGAGTGTATTTTCTCCTGGACATTTCATTTCAAGCTCCTGAAGTTATCCACATCTAGTTGCTATGGTCATATCATTGTAGCGTATCCCGAAATACTGGAAGAGAACCACAAATATTGTAAAACTTGGGGCTTCAAATAAAAAAAATTCAGTGGAGATTACACTCTTATATGCTACACTTCATTATCTGGACAGAAAGATGCCGGATACCCCACATTTATCGAGCACCGAAAAACTGATGGATAACCACATATCGTATACGTGTATCATAACTTGCTCGAGATAGTGGAGAGAATAATAAACAGAAATATTAATGTTAGTCGTTATTTTTATTAAGTTTCACAGGATACTGAATAGTAGTTAACTGCTGAAAGCAACTGTTATCGTATATATATCCTATATACAAAAACCTCATGCAGAGTGAGGGCATACAACCACCTTTCTCCATTGTTCCATACGAGCAGTGGGTTTAGGCAGGGTTGCCCAATCTCACCATTCCTCTTCAACTTTGCCATCAATGACATTCTGGAAACAGCTCTGATGAATGTAAGTAATGGTGGTGTGGATCTGTTGCCTGGAGACTTCTTGACCTTGAGTATGCGGACGATATTGTCTTACTGTGCGATAATGCCCAAGGCATGCAGTCCGCACTTAATCAGTTGGCAATCAGTGCCCGTAGATATGGTATGTGCTTTGCACCTTCGAAGTGCAAAGTACTTTTACAAGACTGGCAGGATTCTAACCCTGCACTCACTCTGGATGGTGAGCAGATAGAAGTAGTCGAGAAGTTCGTGTATCTAGTCGCTGCATAAGTGCGAAAGTCAGAGCGGCCTATACCAATCTGGGCCATCTTTGGTGCCTTCTTAATGTAAGTCTGGCTGTATAAGGTCGGATCTACAACGCGTTGGTCAAAGCAATTCCACTCTATGCTTGTGAAACCTGGTCTCCGAGTTGAGGATGTTAGACGGCTCTCTGTGTTCGATCATCGCTGTCTCCGAAGGATTGCTGACATTCAGTGGCAATACCATGTTAGTAATACAGAGGTTCGGCATCGCGTGTTCGGGCACAGAGACGATAATGCAATTGGTGTCACCATCTTGAAACACCGACTTCGGTGGCTTGGACATGTTCCACGAACTCAACAATCTCCATGATATTTGCTAATGAAAAATCTTGCATCCAGTTATCATATCCAATTACTTAACACCCTATATCAGAAATTATTTTTACACTTTCTATTAACTTAGTTGATTCCTAACCAAAGTTCAATTTTTGTATATTTGCTTCTGTTTTTTAAATTCGTTTCTCATGTACCCAGTTTTTAGTTATGGATAAAAGTTATACTTAAACACATATCATTAGTTGTCTCTATATATTACATAATATTAAATATGTATGTTCACATTCTACACATGACTGTATAGAACAGTGAAATTAAATGAGTTTTGTTTGTTTCCTCCATACATACTTTAATCAGATTGCTTAAAATGAATGAAATTTAGAAGAAAAAAATAACAATTCATGCCTTCATTAATTTACAAACCTAAACTTATTTCAACAAACATACAGAGCGGCCTGGCTGAATATCTCGGCTACCTGTTCCTCTGATCTAGATATTTAATCAAGTTATCTGTTTTTGTTGTTTGTTTTAGCACATCATTATATCTATTGTGCTCACAATCTATTCAGGCGCGTTTATGAAAAGTTTACAACCATTCGCTGTACGGATTACAAAAAGGTACAATCAGCGACATCATGGTGGCTGGCAATATGCATTGAAACGACTGAACATTATTCAAATGTGGATTACCGAACTGCTAACATCTAACTGGCCATTACTCAATATTTATCGTCAGAATCGACCAAGATATAAGAAAAGGAAACTTGTTGAAATACTTTATGCTGAGAATTCTATATTTTACCAAAAATATAATGTTGAATAAAGCTTCTAATATTAATATCTTTGTAGGTGAATGAATTCATCATTGAGTAAAATAACACGAATCATATAAATAATCTTCCTGGATAAGAAATAAGTGATTTGTGGACCGACCTATAATTTAGCTATGGAAAATTTGTATGATATCAGTTTATAACAGAAATGACTTTCAAATCATAAATCTATTCAAAGTTCTTATTTATCAAGAATTAAAAGTTCCCGGGTGATGTCTTTCATTGCTGTAATACATGTGAAGAATGTGCTATCCAAACAATCTTTGGACTGGAACACTTAAAACAGGTTTATACCACATATCTGTTCATTACATTTTATATTACTATATATATATCAGGCTGATCGTGATCAAACTGACATGAATTCCGTAATTATTATTATTATAAATTGACTAAAGTTGAGGGATAGGTTTCATTAATTGACTCAACAAAGGAATAAAAACATGGAAAAATATCGACTGATACAACCAAAGAAAGAGGATGCCAATAAAAGAGAAATTTCCAGAATATACAAGACTATTATCCGGAGAAAGCTAAAGTCAGGACAACAATGAATGATCGTGACCAGTGGCTGGAGACATTAACTCAAAATCGATATCAACGACGCAGAAACATTCATTGATATATTCCCTCAAATCTTAAGATTTAATATTATCTCATACTTTTCATTCCCTTATTACAATCCTTCTTTATAAATAAAAAATATTCTGTATTTTATCTGAGTAGCACTGATACTACTACTGTTCTAAATCATTGTATCAACTTTCTGTCATGGTGATGATGTGATGAAATAGCTTGGCTTAATGCCCACTTATCCCCAGTCCTAAATTAATTGTGACTTATTAACCTTTCTTACCTAGGCGTAAAATCTCATCGTTACTCATTTTGTAATTCCTACAACGTAAATGCTGTAAAGTCATTTATAGATAAAACGTATTACATTTCTTATAACCTCCAGTTTACAATGGAAAATTCTTCTTAACATGAAATACCATTTTGTTGGGAAATTCACCTGTATAGCACTGAACCTTATGCATATTCTAACTTTATCAATTCATCATCAAAGAGTTAACTAATACACTCAGTCAGCTACAAGATATTTGAATAAATCATCACTATCAATATATGTTTATATATATTCAACACAGTTGTCACAGTTCAAAGTAATACAGCATGACAGAAATAAATACAAAACACACCTTAACACATATTTTTTTAATATATTTACACAAATAATGAGGATAAAGAAAAATAATGTCAACATATTTGAGTAGGACAATTTTTTTCATCATTATGATTACCCACCCAAAAGAACAACTTTTATCCCTAATCATTAAAATGAGCAAGAAGAAGCACATAGTTATATCTGTCACACACACACACTGGTCAAACATTCATTGATAAAAAGAACACAGTATTCACCAAGAAAAAAAATTATGCACAAAGTTCATTTAAAAATAAATAAGACAAAATAAAATGGATTGCACCCTATTAAAAAAAAAACAAATAAACATGAAATGATTGAAATAAACAAATTACAATATGAACGAAAAAAACAAAGAAAAAGACAGTGATAATAGTAAATAAGTCACAAAAGTTTGTTGTTGTTAATTTATAGCAATGACATCACGATAATACAAAAGGGATAAATGACTAGATCATAATAAACAATCAGAATTGCTGAAACTTTTAGTCACAAGACTGGCGCGAATACAAATTCGAAAATTGTTTTCTCCGTTTCATTTCTTTTTGTTTCTCTTTTTTGACATTGTGATCATCATAAAGAAAATAAACTCAATTAGGAATTACATAACCGTAGTGATAATAACAGTTAATTATTATTATTATGATTACCATTGCTATTATGTAAAATGAACACTAATAGTCTCATTCTGACTTAATGACAATTCATTGATCAGATCGTTGAAAAAGCGATAGTAAATCTTTTGCAGCTCTAGCAATCTGATGAGCATGACGTATTAGAATAGTGATCTCCGGTGGAACTGATCGACCACTATGACTGACAGATCCAACAATACCGGGAAGAAGAAGAAGAAGGTGATGTGAAAGAAGACGAAGCGGTGATTTGTTCACAATCTTTTCGTAAATTTTCTGATTCTGTGGCAAGATTATTTAATGCATTTTTCACTTCCACTGGATGAGATTCATCAGAAGGGAATAAATTTAATAAGTCTTTGACAGCTAACTGAATTAAACGAGAACAATGAGCACTATTGTTACCATGACGATCACCATTAGCAATCTAAATGTATCAAGTGTGTAAAAAAAATAAAAGACATGAAATGAAGGTTACACTGTCATGAAAGATGTCAATTATCATTAGTTAGTTTTATTTTGGTGTAAATCCACTAGTTTACTAAATCAGACTAAAATAATACTACAGTGTATGTTGACATAAACAGTTGGGATAGAAATGCAACTTCAAATGAATTGAACTATTGAGTTATCATATACGTAAACACCGTATAGTTTGATACAATTGTTACATTCGAAATATAATCAGAAATATAATTTATGAATCGTTTTATTTAACTAGACTTTACCATCTACAAACATCTTTTTATAAGAGAAAGAGACGAAACATATGAGAATAAGACTTATCAATTTTTAAGTCAAAATCACAAGATCAACAGTTCCAAGTTCATCCTAGACAAATTAATATGATAATTCTTAGATTCATACGCAAAAGATCCTGGTCAGTGTGTCTGATAAAAGAACTTTTAAATAACTAGTGATCTGTAATTTCACTATGCATTGAAACCAGATATAAAAAATTAATTAATGAGTATAGTGTAATTCAATAGAACGGAATCTTATGCATATTTGAATTAATGATGCCTAATGATACTATGTGACTAGCTTAAAGAGATTACATTACATAACCACTGAAATTTCACACGTACTTGTCAATATTACCATGATGATTGTTTCGTAATAAGAGACGTTAGATTTTCAGGATAAGATTTCTATTCAACGTCCTTCAAACGGCTGATTGTTTCAGTGTGGTGGAAAACACTATTTATAAATGTCGGAAAACTAAATTAAGCAATGGGGAGTTCTGTGCTATGAAGAAACCGCCGTCCAGTGTTACCAAGATTTGACTGGTGATCTAGCTAAGATCAGTTCGTGATTCAAAACTAAAATCTTTATAATCCTCACAAATCCCTTTTACTAATGAGTTATATGTTTTTTATCAATTAAAACATCGTAACAACAGGAGAACATGCGTTAAATTCATAAATTATCAACAAAAGTTCTGTTATACAGGAAAAATACCACTGAACTACTAAGATCAATAAAAAACCTGAATATAATTCATTCATCAGTATAGGATTGTGGAGATATTTGAGTTTTTATTGAGATCATCAACCAACTAATATTAGGCCACCAATGAAAACCTAGAAGCACTGGACGGCCTCTTCGTCCGGGTATGGGACTCCTCAGAAGTAGGCATCCACGATCCTGCACGCGTGACTCGAACCTAGGACCTTCGACCTTACTTCCTCGCTGATGATGCAAAAATATGTATGATAAGGCGATCAGGTAGTAAAGACAATCCAACTATACAAACCATTATCAATTAATATAGGTATATACATATTTCACGATATTGCTACACAATATGAGTGTGAGAACCTAAAATACAATATGAATTTTATTGCGATTGGCAATATCCATATCTTGTGAACCGAAAAGAGATTGACACGCAACTCGATGACCAATCACACGATTATATGACCCCTGTTTAAGCAATACACACACGGATGAGAACCAATGATAGAAACAGACTGCAAAAATCAAAGTAGGTTAAGTCGGGTTCGAATCTGAATTCAATTATTTAAACTCAAGAGCTCTGATTGTTATCAAACCATTAATTTGACTTGCTATTGATAATCTTTAACTATATATATAACCTTACTGTAGTTACTACGTAAAGATAGTTCCACATGTATAACGTCCAATAACAATGATAATGGTAATAGTAATAATAACTTTAAAATCAAAAAGTACGCACCAAAAATAAAAAACTGAAAATGTCTTTAATTCAAGTACTGATTGTGTTACGACTGAAGGGAGACTGAATCAAAAGTATAAACAACCAGAAAAATATTCTCACCTCTACCAAACTTCGAATACGCATAATAATTGTTTCAACGCATCGGACAACTCGTTCTGAAGTTGGAGCTTTCCAAACTTGATCTCCATTAACCCCAACGACAACACCACCACCACCTGGTCTAGAATGTTTATCGATTTGATGAAACGATTCATTGGATGAGTGTATTAATGAGGATGAACGAGAAGCGTTATCGTAGTCTGGAGACGACTTACTTATAGATACTAAAACTTCTGAATGATGTAACGGCTTTTTACTATCAATCATTGTTGGCTTGTTCAAATGTGAATTCAGTAGACGTGATGATTTTCCCTGATGGTGATGATGATGACGATGATGATGACTATTAGGAATATTCATATTTGGACTGGTTGTTGCAACACGACTACACAACTGACTCGCTAGATTTTGACTGATCGGTATTGGTGCTGGAGAAGGGGAACCAGTAGCATTAGGTGCAGTATAATCATCGGGTATATCAGGATTTAAAGCTGAAATGAATGCGTTTAAGGGTAATATGGTTACAGAAAAAGAGAGAATGAGAATGTGATAGAAATGTAATACTCCAGTAAAATAATAGACATTGACCTTAAAAGTTTTTTCAACGACATTTTCCATCAAAAAGAATTCACTACTAGTAATTAATTAATTTCATACAGTCTAATCTTCAGTGCTGAGCAAAGAACTCTACGAAGATCGACTCCATATTGTAGACACACATAACCCTAAATGATCCATAGTGTTAAACTTTGATTGATGGTAAACCATGTTAAGAGGCAATCAACAACCTTAAATCTATATTGCACGCTTACTGATAACTACTACCACGATAATTTTCAAAATACATTCCAAATGTTTCGCAAGCGTAACTATTATTGATACTATCAGCATTTTAGTTCGTTAGGTTTTCACCGTATTAATTTCCTACTTTTGTCGCTGTGCTGATGTGAAGTATGTCTGCTAGGGTGGATAATTCACTACGTCTGGAATTTCTAAAGAAATCCTACTCTCGCAATGTGGCTGGGTCCGGTTACATAACTTATTGATCTTACGGCAAACTTGATCAACAGACTTTGATTGGTACTGATGATAAGATAGCACTGTACTTGATTCAGTTCCATACAGGATCAATTATGATCTAAACAAATCAATGTTAACCATATCTAACTAACAGTTACGATACCTGATGCATGTCCATCACTGTAAGGCAGCATAAAGTGTATGTTAGATACAGATACGCTTTCCTTCTAATTACCAAGTAATTATAAAATTTATATCTAGGGTTTTCTGTCAACTGACTTTAATCACAGATCAATTTTTATCTGAAAGTTAAACGACTTAACCATTGAGCTACTGCATCATTATTTTGTCATATAAATTTCACATCAGAATTATTTTCCTTTCACTCACTATTTTAACGAACAATCATTCTATTTCCTCAAATTACTGGCGTTATCAATTAATTACCATAGTATCACTCCCCTATCAATTAAACATCATTACTAACAGTATGTGTTTTATGTTATAACATTTTTCAAACAATTAAATTTAAGCACCAATTTTAATTCACCATAAATATGACATCTATTTAACGATAGTTCCCTTGGAATATTTATAATTTAAAAAAGAAAATAGAAAACAATTCCGATATTTGGAAAATATATTGAAGTTAAAACTCACCATCAGCAAGTGTGATTGAAGTACCCGATACTAAGGTGGGTTTTGAGTTGGACAAAGGATGCTGAATAAGATGTGGAGTATTAACATAAGTTGGAATATTTTGTGGTGCAGATGAGACAACATTTTGACTAGTTGAAGTGAACACAAATGATTGCTTTAGTTCTTCATTATTTCTACTGTGTAATTTATTACTTTTTACAAGACCACGAAATGATGGCGTTATAAAATTCGTTTGAGATATAGAAGGATGAGAATGACCGAAACCTGTTTGATGCGTTACACCACCACCACCAGTTACAGATGCTGGTGATCCACCTCTGCTTCCACGTAGAATAATACCTTGTCTAAGTAAAACACCAGAATCCAGACAATGTGAACCCATTGCGTAATTACCTTCATTACTAGATTTATCATTACTGCCACCAGCGACAATAACTCGTTCCATATCATATTCAGAGTCATCATCTTTATATTGTTCAGCATCCACTTCACCAACTTCATCATCATCATGTTCTTCACCATTATCCGTTATTTCTTCACCATATACTCTACTTCCATCTTCTTCGTCTTTTTCATAGTCCCAGTGATAATGTGTTGAAGGTGTTTCACTAACTTTAGTAGCTTTCAAATTAGATGAATACACTCCAATTGATGTTGTTGTCGTTGTTGTGATTGGTGTTTCGCTGGTCAGTTGTTGACCATCTGAATCACAGCTGATTTTTAATGGATTATGAACCATAACCATACCAGCTGAAAAAGCCGCTAATAAGGCAGACTAAAGATGAAAATCAAAAATTAGGTAGATAATGTAAGAGACAAAAAGAATTATAGATAAAAAAGTATGTGTAAATAAAATTCAATAAAAACCAGATTAAAATTGTTTAAATAATAATCACTATTAAGCATAAGTAGATTGTGGCTGATAGCAAAATCCAGGACGCGCATTTCATCCCATTTGCGAATAGTCATCTGAATTTATCCCCACGTCAGTGCTGACATTCATACAGCGACTCAAAATCAAGTACTGATTTTCAGATAACTACTAGCTTGTACAATGAGAGGGTAGTGAATTTCAATTTACATGAAGTTTTTTTGAATATTCCTGTTGATGGTAAGGATTATAATTAATCGGTACGTTTTGGCATGCGTCTATCCTGTGAGAATTGGGTTGATACTGTCACAGAAAATTGCCAATACTGCTTGGAAATATTTTTGACTTAATGGCAACGGAATACACTTTGAATAGTTATCCAGCTATTAAACTGAAGTAATGTACATACAATCTTGTCAACGTTCATGACCTCAATGATCAAGTTTTGTTACTCTGATATTAATTATAACCATTATTTCTAATTCCAAATGGAATTATCTCAATTAACTAAATCATTAATATTTGCTGTTCTACAAAATATTAAATTATGTTCCCAGTTAACAACTGATGAGATGTGTTAAACATAAGTTTGATTTATTTCGATGTACCTTTATCAGTCCACTTGCCATTATGGATTGGTTTGTATTGATTGTATAAAGTATACTGCCTCCAAATGCATTTCTAAGCTCAGCAGAAGCGTTGGGAAATCATCGTTTCAAAACAGATCTGTGCATGTTAAAAATGTACATATTCAAGCTTCAAGTTCACCTCGGTCTTTGAAATAATTAGCAATAGTGGTAGTAATGCATCTTGTATAATTTTAAAAGTTCTTATCCATTATTTCTACTTAATTACATTTTCTTCATATTGTTCAGATAGACAATCGTCTTCTGTCTAGAATTTATTTTCATTTTACTGGTTTATATTACCTTTCGATCAATATTGCATGATTTTCCCTAATATTACATAAAATCACTTTCCACTACATTTTTAAATGATCCCTTAACCTGTCTATGTTGAATAGTATCAATTTAACTATATAAACAAAAATATTGTTTTTATATTGTAAATGTTGAATTTCTTTATTGGTTCAAAATTTAACATTCATATCTATTGATTTTCACTGTCATTTCAAGGATTTATTTACCCATTACTTCATTACCGGGTCTACCCCTTTAACTCCGTTACCAGCTAAGTGCATTTCAAAGTCGTGTTTAGTCAAAAACAATCAATACTATCTTTGTATATTGAAGATGGGATGATTGCAAACCATTAAAATAATAATATCAATCATGAAAATTGTAAAGACGAAATAAGATGATGTAAGGTTTTATTTAAAGTCTTCCTATTTCCCTAACATTTCTTATAATCATCTTAACATATCATAATGAAAAATCAAAAATAAGTTATGTAACTTATTTACTAAATAATGACTTATGCATTTGGCAACTTGGACCGATGCATAAATGTGCCTGGTCTTACGTTGTAGCTGACTGACTGACTTATGCGTTTAATATTGAATCATTCAGTTTGTGTATGACAGAGCTAACAATATTGAAATAATATTTGCAGACTAACTAGAAACTTTTGATGGTGTTGTATTCCGTGAACTAGATCGTTTAATTGTGGAGTTATTGTTGTTATTATTCTAGATAATATTTTCAGTGACTTCTATATAAATTAGATGCTGAAAAAGCTAATGATACTATATGGTTGTCTAAACGAAAGTAGACCAAATATGGTTTAAATATGAAATTTATTAGTTAAATGATGAATTCTTTCATCATTAAGTTTCACTCCTTCATGTTATTACTTAGAAATGAAATGATTAATTACACTACATTATGTGTCTTCCGTTTAACAATTGAATAAATCTACATCTGTGTTTAGACTAACTATAAGTTCATAACAAGGATTTTGACGGTAACCACCATAGCTGTTATCAGTTTGCATGTTATCAGTGAAACAAATCCATTTTTTTAATATCGTATTAATCTAATCAGTTACATCATTTTTAGACTATAGCATTAAAGAATGTTCCTAGTAATGCTACGAAAACACTGATATGATACAACCCATTCAATAAATATTCTTAACTCATAATGACAACTCTATTCCAAGTGTTGCACAGAACTGCTTGAAGATGGAACATAGTCTAATTGAAATACAACAGTTAAACGAATATGGCAACAATATGATAAGTGTCCAAACTGAAATGTATATCATATCATAGCGTATTGACTAAATTAATAATGATATTGATAAGAAGAAATCACAAGTGACATAAACAAATTAACCAAGTTGGATAATAGTTCAGCATGACAGTCGATTGTATTCTGACAAATTCTGTCATGTATTCATCCAGTACAACGCTTGCTAATGTCAGTAATAAATTAAATCCAACTAATGGTCACTGTAAAAAAAATCTGTAATATAAAAGAGTAGTATCTTTCCTTAAAATATATGTTTTTGCAATTCCAAACCAGGCTTGATTTTCCTACATTTTATAGCTCATTGTAATTTATAAATTTATGAAGAGGGATAGAGGTGGTAGCGTATTATCGACAATAAAATTTGTTATCGATTCGTGTATTATTAGTGTAAATCAATTTCTGATTACCATACGTAAACTTCTCTCAGTCATATAAAATTTCGTTTAATTCCATACTTTATTCATTATTTTTCTTACTTCACTTGACTGTCAAGATACACATCGAAAGAGTAAATTCGTAACAGTTTTCTATTAGATACTTTAAAAGTTAATTTACAACTGGTCATATATTCAATCAGAAGAAATTGGCCAGAAAGGAATGGTAAATATAAAATGATTACATATCGAATATGAGAATTAGTTTCAAAGCATAATTAAAACATGCAACGTAACAGGATGAATGAGTAGTAAGTAGTAAATAGATTAATAAATAAAAATGACAACTAAATGAAATATACAAAATAAACAAACAAATTGGTTGATCATTTCAAACATAAACCATTAGTTTTACGTGAAAAATAAAAGTGTACGCGTAAATGATGATGTTACATCATTAAGAAGAAACAGCAACCAATTCATGTAGAGTAGATGCAAAATTGTTAGTTAGTTGATTCATGTTACTTATGCACTCAACTTTGAGCTACACATCAATGTTGTATGAGAGTATGTTATGTTGCGCGGTGCCCGATTCTGACATTAATACATAAACTTACTATACGTGAACCCAAAGCAGCCGCTTAAGTGAGAGGAAAGCTTTATTAGTTAACTCAAATCCAGAGACTTGTATATATATACCTCCGTTAAAAATGTTTGAATCAAACCAGTGGCATGTTTCTCACTACATAAAAAAGGTAAACCAATCTCAGCTCATAATACGACTCAATGTGTTAGAGTGTTAGTATTATACTACTAATCAACTGTTCGAAACTCAAAATAGATGGAACAAGATTTGAACACATACGGCTTAAAATGTAGGTGCTTTACCCACTTTGTTATTAATACTTCGTGTGAAAAACAATGCACAATAGTCAGATGAAGATCACCTGAATAATCACAAATTACACTATTATTATTGTCACGTAGACTACAGTCTGTCATAGTTGAGTAGTAGACGAACAGGTATGACGACATATATAGATCGATATTGTTGCAACATTTCACATTAATCCAACTTGATGAGATTAGTTAACACGAGCAGGAAATCAAGCAGGGAAATTACTGATTTAAAAAAGACGCTCATAAAAATAAGTGAAAAGGGGCTGTAGATTTAATATGATGTTTCGAACTTAGTTAAAAACAAATATCAACATAAAACATAAATATGAATTGTTTCAAGTTGTTAGTCATTTTCCTTCATAATAATTAGAGAAAAATCAACGAAAAATCGGATGATGTTAGAATAACCAAGAGGGATATTAGTTGGAAAGTGTAAGAAAATAAAGAGTAATAAAAAGCGACATGTCGCATAACTTATATATTACTGCTTCCTAACATTTCAAAAGAAACAATTAGCCAGAAATCTCTTAACTGTATATAGAACTCAAGTTGATATTCGGTGCTTTCAAGAACTACGTGAATGAACCATCTTGTTTACCCTGAGTTGCTTTGCTAAACTGATTCTACTACATTACAGAAAGGAGGGTTAAATAGGTAACAGATAATCTACTTAACTAAATCGATGAAAGTTTTATGAACTGATTTGTCTTAAACCAGAACTCTGCAAATCATTCGAATATATTTTTACTCAATATTTCTAATATCTGTCTGAAATGCTTCAATAACATGTATGATCCAATATTTGTGATCTATGAATACGTTGTTTTAATGAATGTGTTTTATAGTCGTAGAATGACAAACTACTGCGTAGTATAACAGACTAATAATAGACAATTGGATATTTGCGCGGAACTTTGTCGTGAAAATGTAACGTTTAGATGAACATTTTTTATGAAGATTTCGAGAAAAATAAAACTAAAAAATATCTAGATGACGTCTATCCGACAATGTTTCAGATATCAATTCAATTTGATGTAATAAGAAATAAACTATAACGATATCCTAACTTTCTCAAATCTAGCATTTAAATTCAAAAATCGATTATAACTGCTTTGACGGACCTAATACTTTTTCGTCATCATAACATAAGTTAAGAAAATTCCAGAGTAACTAAACACATAATTAGAAGCTTTGTAAAGATCCTACATAAACCTAGCATCTATAAGCGTAGTTTCCTTCAATATAAAACGTATCTTTAGTCACTACTCTTTCAAAGCGTCGATAAATATGCTGAACTTCCAATAAAGTGACAGGGAATTGTGAAATAAAAAAGACCACTGAACCTCATCAAAACAATCTACTCACAGTTGACAAGTTAATCGAATGAAATTAGCTCATGATACCAAATATTATTTTC